AGCGGCACAGCCCGTCATTACCTCCCTCGCCACCGGGACGCGGGCCTGTGTGCAGGCATCAATTTGACCAACGCAAACACGTCGAAGAAGTCACACTGGGTAAACCTGTTCCTTCTGCTTCCCCTAAGCCTGCACGCGAGAGAGAGCGTCCTGGCAGGCCGGAAGCTCCGTGCGGGGCTGGGCGGGCGTCAGCGCTGGGGCTGAGGGCTGGCAGCATGCCTGGGAAGGCCTACCCGGCAGCGGCCGCCTCCCGGTCGGGCTGGGCCGGGTGTCTGCGTTCCCCGCGGCTGGCCAGACAGGCAGGTTGGCTGCCAGGCTGCCCCTGTGACCCCACTGGGCCCCCACTGGGTCCCACCTGGTGGTGCTCAGGGCTTCTTCCTGGCTCTACAATTGGGGATCTCTCCTGGCAGGGATCGGGGAACCATGGGGTGTGCTGGAGATCGAACCTGGGCTGGCTGTATCCAAGGCAGAGACACTACCCATTGTACCATCTCTCTGGCCCCCTGGCTGGGAATTTTAGCCTTTCAGGCGAGTGCGCTGATGTCTCCTGTTTCAGGGTCCCCCAGGAAGGGGTGGCTGGGAAGAATGCAGGGAGAACACCATCACCTGGCTAACCTGTTGGAAGGTGGGCCCCCACACAAGACCCTGCTGGCCACCAGAGTCCCAGCACCCCCCAAGCCTCAGCACATGGCCCATAAGTTGACACATGGAGCCCGGGGATGTGGCTCAGAGCATGTGGGTGAAGCCCAGGGTTTGGTCCCCAGAGGGGCACTGTCTCAGTCACCCCATGAGAGCTGCTAGGACCCGCCCCCACGACAGCAGAGAGATGCAAAAGTTCATGCTTGGGGTTTCAGACTTTGGAGACCAATAACCCAGTGCAGGGCAGTCCCTGCCCAGGTTAGAATCCTGAGCCCGGCCTGGCGTGGCTAGTGGGAGGGCCAGCGTGGCCCTCAGAGCACAGGTCATGCTTCCATCTGGCTCCTGAGTGCCCAGCCCCAGGGTGACCTCAGCTAGGGCTGAGTCTGTGTGTCAGTCCCCACTGAGTGTGCCTCGGGGTCCGGGCTGCTGCTGCTCCAGCCCTCTTTCCCTGCTCCCAAGCACGATCCTCACAGTCCCGACTTCTCAGCCCACCACCTCCCCTTCTCCTCCTTCTCCTCCAGCTCCTCCTCCTCCTCCACCTCTTCACCTTCACCGCTTCCATCCTCTCTCCCCCCACCCCCACAACTCCCCATCACGTGAGGGCACATATGCCCACTTATCTGCCCTGACCTGCTCCGGGGCCGGGAGCCAGCGGGGGAGGCGCCTTAGGCCAGTCCTTTCCCTTGGGCTCTCGCTCATGGTCCATTTAGGCCCCCCCAGTGAGCACCACCAGCGGGTACTCTCGGGGCTCTGTGCTCAGGCTGGCCACAGAGGGGACTCAGACCCTCCTCCCCCGCAGCCGGGACAGTCGACTGTCTGTCCCGTCCCTATCCCGTGCCCCCAGCAACCCAGACTCCACATTGTGGAAAACTATGTCCACGGTGTGTGCTCATGGGCGCTCACGCCAGCTGGTTGGCAGAAACTTATGTGTTTTCTTTCTTTCTTTTTTTGCTTTTTGGGTCACACCTGGCGATGCACAGGAGTGATTCCTGGCTCATGAACTCAGGAATCACTCCTGGCAGTGCTCAGGGGATCATATGGGAAGCTGGGAATTGAACCCGGGTCGGGCGCGTGCAAGGCAAACGCCCTACCCGCTGTGCTATCACTCCAGCCCCAACATATGTGTTTTCTAGAAGATTCTGGAAGGTGAGTGCAGAGTGGTGCTACTTCATTCATTTACACGCTGGGGTCCCCTAAACAGCAGTGTTCAGGAGACCCCAGGGAACCCTCTTGTGCTTCTTTTTCACTGGATCAGTGGTTCAATGGGAGAATCCCCGAGAGTGGGGGGGCACTGCTTGGGTCCTGGTTCTGATGCAGAAGGATCACGTGGGTCAGCTGAGGTGCGGGGGTGGGGGAGGCAGGTCCCTGATGAGGAGAAATGGGGTGGCCGCATGCAGGCAAGTGCTTTAGTGCCTGCATTATCCCTCTGGCCTCTGTGTCTTCATTGTTTTTTGGGGGGAGGGATATCCTTGGCTATGCTCAGGGCTGACTCTTGGCTCTGCACTCAAGGATCCCTCCGGGTGGGGCCCAGGAGCTCAGAGGTGGTGCCAGGAATCAAACTTGGGTTGGCTGAGTGTAAGGCAAATGCCATCCCCACCCTGCCATCTCTCCAGTCCCTGCATTTTTTTTTCTTTTTGGGTCACACCTGGCGATGCACAGGGGTTACTCCTGGCTCTGCACTCAGGAGTTACTCCTGGCGGTGCTCAGGGGACCACATGGGATGCTGGGAATCGAACCCGGGTTGGCCGCGTGCAAGGCAAACGCCCTACCCGCTGTGCTATCTCTCCAGCCCCAGTCCCTGCATTTTGATTTCCGACACCCCGTCACTTGTTCCGGGTACCACTGAGCATTAGAGAACCTGCTTGGCACTTTGGCTGCTTTTGTGACATAACGGAGCTAGCTGGTCGCCACCTGGAGCCGACCAGGCGGGCCCTGGGCCTTTCTGAGGGTCTGGCTCATGGGGTGCTTGCTGGGTGGGGGTTCTGGGGGGATGTGGGGAGGGGGCTCGAGCTCAGATGCTCCCCCTTCCTTCTCTCTCTCCTGCTACTCTCATCTCTCTCTGCCAGGTCCGTGCAGCCAGGATGCGGGGTGGCGGGGGCAGGGTTGGGGAGCCCCTCCCGGGGGTCACCAGCCTCTCCTGTCCAGCCAGCCAGCACCAGCTGCCTTTGTCCGGGCCGAGGGCTCTGATCTGTCTGGACAGTGCCCGCCAGCCCCATGCAGAGGAATGCCTCCGTTTCCACTTCAAAGTTAAGCTGCATTCTGCAGATCAGGGGAACGAGGCAAGCTAGGGGAGCCCCCTGAGACCGAGCACCGAGTCAGGGGGTGCCCGCCCCCAAGGAGCTGAGCATTCATCGGCTCAGGGCTTCCCTAGGGAGTCCGCAGCCTCCGGGGGCCCCCCTCACACTTCCCGGCCCCCCTCAGGCTCCAGGATCAGCCCCGCACTGGCTTTGTTCTGGAGGAGCCTCCGAGAAACGATTTAATGTTGGTTCCTGGCTCCCCCATTACCCTTCCTTCAAGCCCAGGGGAGCTGGCTTAGCTGGGGTCCACCCTCTCCTCCAGCCGCCACCCCCAACGTCTACCTGGCGGGAGGGACCGGTCGGGAATGGGAATTGCAGGTGAATGTGGACCGGAGCGGGCCACCTCCCTCCCCCATCCCTTCTTCCCACCCCGAGCCTCTTAAAAGGCAAACTGGGTCAGGTTGCTTCTCGCTAAACCCCCCACAGCTTCCCCAGCTGCCTCACGGAGCAGGGGAGAGAGGAGCTGCCCCCCCCATCTCACCCCCCACTGCTCTTCCTCCTCCTCCCCGCTTGGCCTTCCCGGAGCGGGCCACCAGCCGGACAGTCCCCAGGTCCGGGCCCCAACCGTCCCCTCCCCCTCGGAGACCCTCCCCCCTCAGCCCAGTGACCCCCTCCCAGGCGCTTATCTTTGTCCTGGCCGCTCCGATTTCAGTTCGGACGCCTCTTCTGGGGTCCTCCCTGACCGTGGGATCTCCAGGAGCGGGCGATCCCCCAGCGGATGCCCGCCGGCCCCTCGTCCCTAGAGCCCGGAGCGCCTTGCAGTCTCGGGGTTTATCTCTTGGGTTTATTATCTTCTCTCTCCTGCTCCCTGCGGAGGGCAAAGTCCCCCGCAGAGGGCGCGTCCTCGCCCGCCCGTGGCCCCCAGTCGGGTCCGGGTCGGGGCGGGCGGGGCCCCCGGTGGTGGGCGCGGGGCGCACCAGGGTGGAATGAACGGCTCAGCCGCGCTTCCCGGGCACCTCGGGGGGCGCCGCTCCGCGCCGAGCGCGCGACTTTCCTGTCGCCGCGGGTCCCGGGGGAGAGACGCCCACCTCGCCCCGGCTGGCTGCAGACGCGCCGTAAATGCGCTCGGGGGACCGACCCGCGGGCGCTGGGGAGACCCGGGGCTGCGGGCCGGGAGCGGGCTCGGCGTCCGGCCGCGCGTCCGGGCCCTCTGGGGGGCCGCTCCGCCCTCCCCAGGGCTCTCCACCTTGTCGATCGCGGATATTCGCTCCCTTGCCCGCCCGTCCCCCCAGACACACACGGTGGGCGGGGATCGGGGTGCAGCTCTGGGCTCGGGGTGGGCAGGGACCAGTGACCCGTGCCGGCCGGCTCTAAAGTGCCGGGGCGCGGCCGGGGGGCCACAGCCGCGGGCCACGCTGGAGACCGCGGTGGGGGACCGGGGCGCAGCGGGGGGGCGGAGGAACTCGGGGCAGGCGAGGGGGACAAAGAGCGGGCAGAGCGGCCCCCGTGTCCGAGTCCTATTGTTCGCCCGCTCCCAGCCGAGGCTGGACGCCGGTGGCCCGGGAGGGAGGAGGGGAGCGGTCGCGAGGATGGGGACTCCGCGTCCGGGGGGCGGGGGGCGGGAAGGGCGGCGGGGGCGCGGGCCTCCGGAGGGGCTGGGCGCGCGGCGCCGCGCGTCTCCTTTAAGGGGAGCCCGGCCCTACCTTTCGCACCGTCACCCCCTCCCGCGGCCCTACCTGCATTTTAAAAGCGCCCAGTAGCCCGGGGATTGGCCCAGGCCGCGTCCTCCGGGCGCAGAAACTTGAACCGCCGGGAGGGGAGTGGGAGCGGAGCGGGGGGGCCGGACGGTACCATCTGCGCGGCGCCCCCCCGCCCGCGCCCCGCCCCTCCCGCACACCCCCGGGGCCGCCCAATCGGCGGCGCGCGAGGGCGGGACCGGGGCGCCAGAGCGCCTCGGATTGGCCGCCGGGCGGGCGGGCGCACGGCGCGCGGGGCCCCCGGGGGCGGCGGGAGCGCCCGGCCCCGCCCCCGGCGCCCCTCCCCGCGGGCGGAGGCGGGGCCTCGACGCGCCCCGCCCCCGCCCCCGCCCGGAGTGGGCGGGGCCGGCGGGGCTCCGGGGAGCTGGGCCGGGCCGGGCCTCCGCCTGCTGCGCCCCAGCCCCGAGAGCGCCCGGCACGGCGGCCGCCGACGCAGCAGCTGTGCGGGGCTCGCGCGGCCCCGGAGCGCGCGGGGGCGCGGGCGGCGCGGGCGGGCGCTGCGTGAGAGCGTGCCAGGCGGCGCGGGGCAGGCCGCACCCGCGCCCGGCCGCCCCCGGGCCGCGCAGCCCCCCGGCGCGGGCGATGCCGCCGCGCTGACCGGCCCAGCATGGAGAAGCCCCCGGGCGCGGCGGCGGCGGCGGCGGCCGAGGAGTTGAGTCAGGTGCCCGACGAGGAGCTGCTGCGCTGGAGCAAGGAGGAGCTGGCGCGGCGGCTGCGGCGCGCCGAGGGCGAGAAGGTGGGCCTCATGCTGGAGCACGGCGGCCTGATGCGCGACGTGAACCGGCGCCTGCAGCAGCACCTGCTGGAGATCCGCGGCCTCAAGGACGTGAACCAGCGGCTGCAGGACGACAACCAGGAGCTGCGCGAGCTCTGCTGCTTCCTGGACGACGACCGGCAGAAGGGGCGCAAGCTGGCGCGCGAGTGGCAGCGCTTCGGGCGGCACGCGGCGGGCGCCGTGTGGCACGAGGTGGCCCGCTCGCAGCAGAAGCTGCGCGAGCTCGAGGCGCGCCAGGAGGCCCTGCTGCGCGAGAACCTGGAGCTCAAGGAGCTGCTGCTGCTGCTGGACGAGGAGCGCGCGGCGCTGGCCGGGGGCGCGGGGGGCGCGGGCGGCGCGGGCGGCGCGGGCTCGCGCAGCTCCATCGACAGCCAGGCCAGCCTGAGCGGGCCGCTGGCGGGCGGCGCGCCGGGCGCGGGGGCCCGCGACGTGGGCGACGGCAGCAGCACGTCGAGCGCGGGCAGCGGCGGCAGCCCGGACCACCACCACCACCACCACCACCCGCACGTGCCGCCCCCGCTGCTGCCCCCCGGGCCGCACAAGGCCCCCGACGGCAAGCCCGCGGCCACGCGCCGCTCCCTGGACGACCTGTCGGCGCCCGCGCACCACCGCAGCATCCCCAACGGCCTCCACGGTAAGCGCGGCGCGCGCCCGGCCCCGACTCCCCCGCCCCCGCCCCCGCCCCTTCCCACGCCCCCCTCCGGGCTCTCGGAGACTCGGGGGCGCCGTCCCGCGCGCACCTTCTCCCGGGAGCTTTGGGGAGTTGTCTTGGCGCGTGGGTGATGGAGTCTTGTCCCAGGTCCCCAGCGCAGCTCCCTGCCCCCTGGAGTTAGTGGTGGCGAGGGGTGGGGGGACGGGGGCCGGGGCCGGGGGTGTCCCTTGGAGGCGGGGCGGATTCTCCTCTTACTGGAGCCGTTAATTGGGGGCCCCCCGGAGCCGAGTTGCCTGCACGTGTGTGTTGGAATCCCGCCCGAGCACGGGTTGGAGGAGATGGAGCCCGGCGCACAAGCCCTCCCTGGGGTGCCGCGCCCCCCTCCCCAGATGCTAGGAGACCGTCGGCGGGAGGGGGGGTGGGCAGTGTTTGCAGGGGATCCTGGCCTCGCTCGGGTGGGTGCCTCAGTTTCTTATCTTATCTGGGGAATGGCGGGGGTGATCCCGGGCCCCACCTCCTGGATTGGAGGTGGAGATAAAGCCGCAGGAATTCTGTGGCCTTACAGGAAGTGCCAGTGTGTGAGGTGGCTCAGCTGTGGGCGGAGACCTTTGGTCGGGGGAACGCTTAGGCCTTGGCAGTGTCTTCCTCGCCCTCCCGGGGACCCAGGACAGGCCCCCGGGTGGGGGTGGGGGCGGCGGGGGGGGCGTGGCCGGGCGGCGAAGGCCTCGCAGCCCTCCCAGTTCCCAGTTCCCAGCGCGTTCCTCCCTGTTCTTCCACATTTTTGTCGGCTCCCGGCACCGGTGGCAGTTGCTGAACTATTTTGCCCGAAGGTGGAGATTAAACAACCCTTTCTGGTTCTCTTAATAGGCTTCGCCCCTGTTCGGGAAGAAAGATGTTTCTGGGCCTTCCCCTGCCGCGTCCCATGTCGGCCTGGGTGCCCACGGAGCGCGGGGAGGGGCTGGGCTCCCTCTGCAGGCTGCTGCGATGGGGGCTGGACCCCCGACGCGGGCATTTGCTCCTTCCCCACCTGGGTTAGCACCCTGGGCCCAGTACCCGCGGGCTGGATGGGGAGGGATATTTTGTTACCATCTCGCCCTCCAACTCGGGTTTCGCTTTGTAACTCAGTATCTCGACTCACTTCCAGCCTCGGGCCAGGTTTGGCGGCTCCGTCTCCCTGGCCGCCAAGGCAGGGGGAGGTGAGGAGTTGTCACCTGCAGGGGTGGGGGTGGGGTGGGGCAGGGCTCTGGTTCTCGCTAGTGCGGTCAGGAGGGAGGGGTCCCGGCTGGGAGGTCTGGTTTTCAGCAGACTCTTGGGGAGCGTTGCTTCTCTGCAGGGTGCCAGAGGGCCCGGCTGGGGTGTCAGTTTGTCACATTTGGGACCCGGGAGGCCCCAGTCCTGCCTGACTCAGGGTGTGAGTTCTGGGGAAAGGCTAGTGTGGGGAGTGGAGGTTGCCCCCTGGTGAGACCTGAGGTTTTTCCACCCACTGGGTGTGTGTGTGTATGGGGGAGGGGCCTTGGAGATGTCACAGTTCCTGTGGTCCCCTTCTCCGGCCCGACTGCTCATTGGGAACAGGTGACAGAGCTGGCTTTGGGGCCGGCCGGGTGGGGGCGAGAAATGCCGCGAACGTCAGTTGGACATGGGCGGAATTGTGACTGGTGAGTTTTGTCTGAGATGTCCCTTCAGCAGTGACAATAGTGCCAGGAAGCCAGGCGCGTCAGGGCCCTGGGACACGCTTCCCTGAGCCCGGTTGTGCGGCTTTGACTTGCGCTGACCAGGGACAGCGAGACGCTCTCTGGCCCGCTGGTGTCTTCAAGCCCTTGGTCTCAGCTTTTGTCTTTGTGGGTCTGGGCTGGGGGTGGTTTTCTCCATTTTACAGACCAGTAGGTGGAGGTCCAAAGGGCCGCCTAGTCGCTGGGTGGGCGCCCCCCCTCACTGCCCTGGCCCCGGGCTGCCTCTCTGGTGGGTTGTCACTGGGGCCAGGCTGACAATCGGCAGACACTCGACTCCTGCCCCAGCTCTGCCCTGTTTCCCCTCTCCTGGGAAGTGTCACTTCCTTATCGGTCACCAAGGAGCAGATGGCTGATAACCTCCTGCCCCGGAGGGCACTGCCTCAGCCCGTACCCCCCACTTCCGATACCTTGGAGGGGCCTCTCCAAAGTGGGGTGGTCCCCCTCTGTCCAGCGGGCTCAGGAGGGGGGGGCAGGAAGATCCTGCTTTTCCAGGTGCCCTCCTGGGAACAGAAACGAGAACCAGGGCACCCCAGAAGTGGTGGCAGGCACCCCAGCGTGTGTCTGCTGCAGCTGCTGGGGACTGGGGCGCCCTGGTCTCCCCAGGGAGCTGGGCGGTGGCGGGGCCACACGCTCGGTGCCCTGGGAGGTGTCCATCAGACTAAACAAGGCCCTTGCCTGGGCTCGCCAGGCCAGCAGCTCAGAAAACATGCCAGGGCCGGGACGGCTCTGGGCTGCACCCTGGGGTCTACTGGGGCCTCTTTGCCCCCACCCCATGTGGCCGGCTGAGACATGGGCTCCAAATTGCGAAAAAGTCAGGTTTGCCCCTACTGAACCTGGGAATTTTTTTTTTTTTTTTTTTTTTTTTTGCTTTTTGGGTCATACCCGGCAATGCACAGGGGTTACTCCTGGCTCTGCACTCAGAAATTTTACTCCTGGTGGTGCTCAGGGGACCCTATAGGATGCTGGGAATCGAACCCGGGTCGGCCGCGTGTAAGGCAAACGCCCTACCTGCTGTGCTATTCCTCCAGCCCCTGAACCTTGGAATTTTGATCTCCCAATGCCAGTACTTTAAAAAAAAAAATTGGGGTTGTGATGACACCTGGCAATGCTCAGGGCTTACTTCTGGCTCTGTGCTCAGGGATCACTCCCGGCAGTGCTCAGGGACCGTATGGGATGCCGGGACTGAACCCAGGTTGGCTGTGTGCAGGTAGCCGCTTACCCACGGTCCAGGCCCTCTCCTGTCCCAGGCGCCCCATCCTGTCAACGCCTTTAGCTGGCCTAGAGAAGCCCGCAGGCATGCCCTCCCCTCTAAGGGGCCCAGTGTCCTCAGACCAGTTTGCGTGAAGATTTGTGCTGGGGAGATGGTAGGGGTGAAGGCGCTCGCCTGGCTTGCCGCTGTCACGGCACCATATGTGGTCTCCAGTGCGGCCCCCAAACCCAAACCAAAGGAGACTTGGGGCTTTCAGGGTAAGATATTTAGCTGCTCTGGACTGGAGCGATAGCACAGCGGGAAGGGTGTTTGCTTTGCACGCGGCCAACCCAGGTTCGATTCCCAGCATCCCAGATGGTCCCCTGAGCACTGCCAGGGGTAATTCCTGAGTGCAGAACCAGGATTAACCCCTGTGCATCACCCGGTGTGACCCAGAAAGAAAGAAAGAAAAAGGATGCTTAGCTGCTCTTGCTGACTTGTTGGTTAGGGGGCCGGGGTGGGGCAGGGTGGGGTGGGCCTTTGGGAGCAGAGACCGACCCCCAGTGCACCTTGAGGGACCCCCAGCATCGTTCTCTGGGTGGGACTAGCTAATAAGGCCTTCCAGAGCAAGGGGGTGGTAGAAACTAGCCCCAACAGTGGGGCGGGCCCCTGGCCTCCACCCTGCCCCCCCGCCCCCCCCCATCTGCCTGTGTGACCTTTGGGCCGAAGTGTGCGGGTGGGGCTCTCAGGCGACATCCAGGGGGAAAGTCGTGCTCTGTGGGACAGAGGGGAGGATGTGGGGGGTCTTCTGGGCCCCACCAGGTTTTCCTCGGGGCTTAGACCTGGGCAAGTCACTGATCAGAAGGGCGGGCAGTGTCTCCAGTGCCTGAACCTCATCCCTGTGCATTTGGTGGCTGTGTGTGAAGTGGGGACCCCCACACTGCATTGAGCACCCCCCCCCCGGGCTACCCCAGGCCCGCCTCATGCCCTGAGACACAGGCTTGGCTTGACTGGCCCTTTCCTGGGGGCCCTCTACCATGTCAGTGCCTGCCCATCCTGGGGGCGTGGCTCCCCTAGGCACAGGTGACTCTGGGATTGTGTGTCTGTGTGCACATGTGTGTGTCTGTGCCCACGAGTGCCTGTGCATGTGCACCTGTGTCTGTACTGCATGTGTGTGTGTAGCTATCAGCCTGTATGTGCATGTGTGTGTGTGTGTGTGTGTGTGTGTGTGGCTATCTGTCTGTGTAGCTGTCAGTCTGTGTGTAGCTATCAGCCTCTGGGTGTGCATGTGTGTGAGTGTGTATATATGTGTGTATTTGTGTTGCTGTCAACTGCTGGGCATGCATGTGTGCATGTGTGTGTGTGTATGTGTGTGTAGTTGTCAGCTTCCGGGTGTGCATGTGTGTGTGTATAGTTGTCAGCCTGCTGGGTGGGTGGAGTGTGTACATAGCTGTCAGCCTGTGTTTGTGTGTGTATGTGTGTGTGCGTGTATGCTCACATACAGGCCCCACAGTATCAATCCAGGGATCATAGACACAGGGGATCCAGGTGGAATTTGGGGGTACAAGTAGTCTGGACCCGCCCCCCCCCGACAGCCTGGGCTTGCTGGGGGGGAAGTGAAGTCTGGGGGGGGAGCTGCTCATGTTGGGACTGGGAACTGACTCAGGAACTTTGGGCTCGAGCCCCCCTCCCTCTGCTTCCCCGTGACCCCTGACCACAGGCCCAGCAGCCCAGGTCCAGGGGCCGAGGGTGTGTTCCCCTCTGTTCCGTGTCCAGCTCCCTGAGGTGCTGGCAGGGGTGTCGAGGGTCCCCGCCAGAGCCCAAAGGTGTGGCTGGAAGTGTGGGGTCCCCCTCCCCAGGCGGGACCCCAGAGTGTCACTGCCCCTCCTACAGCCACACCATCCCTACATGTGATCCCAGATAAGTCAGCAGCTAGATCCCCTCTGGAAAGTGGGGCAGGGGGTGGGGATTGTCATGGGGTCACTGCAGTGCGGTGGGAGGGGTTTCCCAGCTGTGCTCCCTGTGAACTGTGTTCCCACCCGAGGTTGCGGACATGCAGGGGT